AAAGTGAAGAATTTCATGAAAATCTGTTTCCCCAAGAATCTCCTCACAGAAGTCTTGTAGAAATATGGCTCTACAGAAGGATGCTGAAATACAATGTAATCAACGAGAAAGTTTTTAGAAAAAATGGAAACAAAAAGGACGTTAGAATTAGAAAGAAATATTTGAAATATCTAGGATACATAATGAGAAAGGAGGGTTTGAAAAAATTGACACTCATAGGATATAATGAAATCCCTTATGAAAAGTTACTTATATTGGCCTAAAATGAACCAGGATATTCTAAATTTAAGTCGTCCAAAGTTTGTACTTGAGCGACAAAATTACCAACTGTGAATTATGAACCTTGTCTAATACTGATAAACATTCATCTAGGTTGTATGTTGATTACGCGGTAACTTCGAATGATGAGCAGCACTTGCTTGTTGTCGACATTTCTTCAAAATGGCCTGGAATAGTCAAGTGTAGAAAATCTACTTCCACTGCAACTGAAAATTTTCTTCATGAACTATTTTCAAGATTTGATGTTCAACATAATATAATATCTGATGATAGCCCGCAATTTCCTTCGAGTGACTTTCAAACCTTTTTCAAATACTATACAGTTGAACATATAAAGAACTAACATCAAATGGTCAGGCTGAACGTTTTGTTTATACGTTAAAAAGGGAGTTAAATAAATCAAACGGGGAAGAGATGGAAGAAATAATGCTTTAACAGTTTTCAAGGATTTATATATTAGCTCAAATATTGCATCGAGGAGGTCACTAGCAGAATTAACGTTTGCTAGAAAAATTGAATCGGTGTTTAACTAATCAATACCTGGGAGAAAAATAAAAAGTTGGTTTAGTAAGATATCATACTTATTATAAAACCCAGGTTGTGTGTGTGTGTGTCTGTACGTTTATATATTGGATCGGATTTCCTACATTTTTCAACCGATTTCAACAAAACTTCACAGGACTACGTAAAATTACCTTGCAGTGGTTCTGACAGCGCCAAAAATTGGAAAACACACAAATGTTTTTGCACGAAATCAATTTGAAAACACGATTAAGAAGCATCGCAAGAATGAAAGGGGGGCAACTCATATAAAGTTATACTTATTATAAAATCTAGATTGTTTGTGTGTGTGTCTGTGTTCGTTTATATATAGGATCGGATTTCCTACATTTTTCAACCGATTTCAACAAAACTTCACTTTTTTTTGGCAGGTAGTGTTTCTTATTGTCTTGCACACTTTTTTCTTTATTTTTACATTCAGAATGCTTTAAAAATTCCATTTACAAGGCAATTGTTTATAATAAAATTCTATTCAATCAGTAGACTCATAACGATTGAAAACAATGTTTTTGTTTGAGTTTGGGTTTGACCAATTCGTAAAAAAGAAAAAAAAAAAACTAATTGAGACATGCGTGTCCGTCAACCTTAAACAATAATCTTTGTCAATTTTATTTTTCAGTCTTTATGATGGTTGATACTTGATCTATCCTTTACTGTTACATCCCCGGGCAACGACGGGCTCTACTGCTAGTCAATTATAAATCTTTCAAAGTTGGAGATAAAATTTTCTTCCGGACTTATAAGGTCGCTTTAACATAATGATGTCTGTGGTACTAGGTCGAAACTGGCGTTATAAAAGGCATTTAAACCAATTAAAACCAAGATATACTAAGGAAATAAAAACCCCAGCAAGAGATTAGGTTATGGAAGTACTGTACGATACTTTTGACTTTACTACTCCAACAATGGAGGCACAATGGAATAACAGATAGCAGCTTGGAGAACTAAGTTCGAATTTCAGTCGAATCCATTATATTCTAATAACATTGGCAAAGTTATGAATCTTATTCTTCTCCTAATATTTACGGGTAAATAGCAGGACAGACGGGTTTTATAGCCTTGGATGGCAACTTGTTTACCACAGAAAAGAAATGGCAAACTACTGCGGGAAACAATCTCCCTCGTCAGTCATTTATCGAAAGATACATGATCGCCTAAGTGTGTATCACGCATGGTACAAAACTGACTGACTTCAATTATAACTACTCGAGAACACCGTGTTAGTAAAAGAAAAATAAATCCCATGGAAGTGCTGGAAGTAAACTCCAAAAGAAAGAAATATGTATTTCAAAGAGAATGTTTATCTTAAAAAGAGAGGAGTTGTGTAGAAAGATAAGCGACCTCCGATACACTAAAGTGTTAAACATGGATTCTTCGATTGAAAGTAATTCCAAGCGAGACACAACAAGTCGCAAAGTGTGTCGCACGAATTAAGATATTCATTAATGTTGTAATATTAATCACATTGATTAAAGAGTTCTTTCATCAATCTTGTGTTCCAATGTGTTTACTTTTAGAATATTATTAACCAAACTCCATCCAAGTTGGTACAAGCATTATAACATAATATAAAGAATTTTCCTAACGTAGCTTGATAACTACAGAAAATACGAAATATAAAGCTGGTAACCAGACTCATAATAACTGATTCACTGCATATCACCGCACTCATGACATTAACGTGCAATAATTGATGAATAGATGTGGCTATATATATTATGGCTATGATAATATACAGGCCATATATATATATATATATATATATATATATATATATATATATATATATATATATATACATGAAGAAATATAGTCTTAAGGTGTGCTATATTTATGGGATAAAGTGCTCAATATCAGAGATAGAGCTTGTGTAAATATAAAAGTGAACATAGAAGTCAACACTTAGAGGCGACAGTCTGCTTCATGCTAAATGCAATCGTCAGGCCTGACGATTGCATATAACTTATGAAACGAACTGTCGCTTCTATGTTCATATATATATATATATATATATATATATATATATATATATATATATATATATATATATATATAGTAAGGTAATACATGGTTTGCTAATCCGTATGGATAGTTCCCAAGAGGATGTAGTCAGAGAGACTGTCAACAACAGAGCAAATATTACTTAATCAAAATAAAATATATTTTCTGGTGAAACAAATTATAGTCATGGAACCTTAAGGTTGTTTTTATTTTAATATATATATATATATATATATATATATATATATATATATATATATATATATAAAAGACATTTTTATGTTTATACATTCTTTTTATCGATACATAAACTGGTATGGGGTCCACCCATTTTCACACAAGTGGACTCGCCCAGTGTGTACTTGTACAGTTGCCGGTGAATACCCGGGTGTAATAAAGACGGGGAGATACACTGATACAGTGATACAGTGAGAGTGTGAGGTTACCGCTTTGTAGGAGTCACAGTTGCGAGCTCGTAGACTCAGAAGGACGTCATATTTCGATACTGAATTTCCCAGACTGTATATATATTATTATTGCTACTAACCGCATTTCTGGATCTACTAACCGTATTACCAATTGTATTATTACGTGAATACATTTAATTGCTATATTTCATTCCTGCGTTTGTCATTCATTTGAGACCAGATTTCATCTCGGAATCCACAACATAAACATATAAAGATGTATAAACATAAAAATGTCTTAAATTAATTTTCGGACTTTGTTCATTTCATAATGTGTGACATCATATATATATATATATATATATATATATATATATATATATATGCCATAGTGATGGTAATATACAGGTAATATATATCATCGTAATAGTAATGGTAATGTTAAGCACTTCCTTATAAGGAAACATTTGACATTCATTGACCGATCAATTTGTACTGCTGTCATTTTTAAAACATTTGTCTTACAAGAGTTTTTCAGGAAAATACTTTACTCCCGTCCAGTAGTTATCATCCAATATTGATGGGAGTTTCCTTCCTACACTTTAATTTGAAGGACTATGCAATGTCGACATCTTCATTGTGTCATTGCTTTCTCATCAATTTACATGTGATATATATTTCAGCTGTTGCCGTAAGGGATGTATTTCTAATATTTGGTAAAGTTCCTTGATTGTGATTTTTCTAGTGTCGTCTTCCATAAAAATGGCGGAAGACCTGATGCTGCAAAACAGACTTTGCATAATATTCAAGAATTGAAAAGAGAAACCGTCCAGCATCCACTGTATTCTTCTTTGCATTGTCAATTGTTCCGGATTCTGCACAACAATTTAAATGAGAAAAAAATGGACACAGTATAATCCTTTGAAAACTACCTCACAACATTCTTTTACGAAAATGGCGTCATAAGTTTGTAGAATCATGGGAAACAGTTGTTAAAAACAATGAAGACTATGTACTTGACTTTCTTTGTGTATGTAAAATTTTGTTTTTAATCAGGCACGAACATTTGCAGAATAGTTTCTGATCTAGTGTTTCTCTAGATTGAGGCTTTCATATGGATGTCAGGTATGGCGACAACCTCGTTCAGAAATAACTTAATTATTAGCTGTATACAACTACTTCTTCAAATCAATAGTTAAAAATACCTTCGTTTTATGAAGCCTGGAGATCATGCGAGTGCCATGATTTTTCGAATATTTTAAACTCTCGCTGCAGAATCTGAAGAAAAACTGTCCAAACTTTATCAGAATCTTTAAGAAAACTGCATCAATCGAGAACTTTCTACGGCAGAATCAGGTGAAATGGTTATGACTCGAAGAAAAAGCAATGGTATAATCAAGAAGTTCAAGTTTCAATACCACTTCAAACCAAAAGTTATAAAGGAAACACTTATCAATGGAAAGAGCGATAACAGCTACTGGACATGAGAAAATTATATTCTTGAAAATTTATTTTAAGAGAAAGTTTCTATAAATTTCATCAGAAAGTAGCACATTTATGATATATATATATAAACTGAGATAGATAAATAGACATAAACTGAATAATACACACACATACACACAGACACACACACACACACACACATATATATATATATATATATATATATATATATATATATAAAACTAACATATCGATCGATCGATAGATAGATAGATAGATAGAACAAGCATAGATAGATATGAACAATCACAGATCGATAGATAGATAGATCGATCGATAGATAGAACAAGCATAGATAGATATGAACGACGATAGATAGATAGATAGATATAGATAGATAGATAGATAGAACAAGCATACATAGATATGATCAACCATAGATAGATAGATAAATAGATAGATAGATAGATAGATAGATAGATAGATAGATAGAACAAGCATAGATAGATATAGATATATATAGATATATAGTGTTATGGGAACTTACCCATAATAATAATGGACTATTCCTGGCATCATAAATACTGTGCCTCTCAAGAGGTATGAGGAGATTGTAAGACGAGGAGAGATAATTGAGAGTAAGGACATTGGAATAGTGATACTTGTCGAGACAACATAGTTCACTCTAATCAAATCTGATAGTCATTACTAATACTTCTACTTCTTTGTATTATATTTCTGTTGTAATATATCTTTGTATTCCATACCTGTGTTCGTGTTATTCTTTCATTGATTCTAACCTTGGACCATCACCGTGGTACAAAGAACTTGGACCATAACAAGTGGCGACGAGGAAACCCTAAAAAACAAAACAAAAAAAAAAAAAACAACAAAAAAAACAACTCTCTACGCGGACAAACCTTTTTGCTATCCGTTGCACATAAAAGTGTCGACGAGAAAACTGAAGAAACAATTTCTCCGTGGAGATTCTAAAAAACGCGTTCTACGTAGAGATATCTAAAAAAAAACAAGTTCTACGCGAACATATATATATTAAAAAAAAAAAAAAAAAAAAATGGGGGGGGGACATCAACTTTACTGTTGTAACAAAGGCACAAGTTCTACACAGGGAATTTTTTTTTTTAGCGTACACATGTTCCAGAATATCAGGCTACACTAAAGGAAAATACGCAAAATTACGTTAACATGGAAGATTTTAAGTCAACCATTGTGGAACTTATGAAAATCCAATTTGAACAGCAACAGAAAAACGAACAGAAACATCTTGAATTACAAGAATTATTGTTACGTATAATATCAAATAAAGAGCAAAATCCGAAAATGAAACATTTCTCTCACAAGACGCTATTTGGAGCACTATCGAAGATTTCACGTGTGCACCCTACGAAGACAAAACCTTTGCAGCTTACTTCCGAATGTACGAAGATCTATATGAATTTGCTGCAGAAATTGGTCAGACGCAAGAAAAGTACGACTACTACTAAGAAAATTAGGCACATGCGAATATACCAAATTCGTAGATTTTATCATACCGAGAAAAACAAATGAGTTAACTTTCAAAGAAGCCATAAAACTGTTAACAGAACTTTTCAGTCCTAATACCTCACTATTCCACAAAAGATGGAAATGTCCGAATCTAACAAAAAAGGAGAGCGAAGATTACATAACTTTCGCTTCCATTGTAAACAAATATTGTGATGATTTCAAGTTATCGGAACTCAGCCCGGACAATTTCAAATGTTTAATATACGTCCAAGGCCTGGATTCAACAAAAGACGCGGAAATTAGATGCAGAATCCTTACAAAATTGGAGAGTGAACAAGATTTGACACTTCAAAAACTGACCGAAGACTGCCAGAGATTCATAAGTGTAAAGAAAGACTCAGAAGATATAGAAGAAGCTGGCATCGCGCACATACGTAAAGTACGAAGACAAATCAACTTTCCCTCCTCACAAACAGACTAAACCAATTTTCCCTCCTCAAAAATAGGTAAAACAAATTTTTCTACTTCAAAAAGACAATATTAGAAAAAACTACCATCCAGTCCATGCTATCGCCGTGGGACTTGACATTGGTATAAAGACTGTCCATACCGTTTTAAAACTTGTCTATCATGCCAAAAATAGGACATATAAAAGTTCTCATTGTTGGACTAGAAGAGAAAGCAAAAGCAGAATAAGAATCACGAGGACTGACCAAGCGGATGAGACTAACATAAGAAAATATGTGCAAGTAGAAATGCAAAACAGAAAAGTCAGACTACAGTTGGATTCCGGGTCGGACTTAACTATTATTAACGGACAAACATGGAGAAAACTGAACAAACCTACCATGTTAAGAACCGATAAAATTGCTAGATCGGTAACTGGGATTACAAGTGATTACAAATGTGACATTCAATGGAAAATGTATGTGCTAAGAAATACAGAAAACTTATTCGGTACGGACTGGATGCAAAAATTCGAACTTTGGGATTTACCAATAAGTACGTACTGCCAAAATGTAAAAGGTTCATCGACCGAGGCTGATAAATTAAAAGAAAATTTCCCCGAAGTATTTTTAGCAGGTCTCAGAAGATGTAAGAAAATGGCAGAAAATAAAGAAATAAAAGAAAACGTTCAACCTATCTTCAAGAAAAAAAGGAGCGTACCATTTGCTTCAATAGAAAAAAAAATAGATCAAGAATTGGCTAGACTCGAAAACACCGGCAAACTGACAAAAGTAGAATACAGTCAATGGGCCGCACTCACGGTTTACGTCAAAAAAATCAGGGGAGATTCGAGTATGCGCTGATTTCTCAACGGGTTTGAACGCAGCGATAAAAGACTACCACTATCCTGTACCCAGTCCAGAAGAAGTATTCACGGAAATCGTCCAGAAAAAGGAAGTTCGCAGAACCTTTGGTAATAGATCCAAAGAGAAACAAATATCAAAAACCCCTGCTACGCAAAAGCACCGGAAGGGGGGTGTTATGAGAACTTACCCATAATAATAATGGACTATTCCTGACATAAATACTGCGCCTCTCAAGAGGTATGAGGATATTGTAAGACGAGGAGAGATAATTGAGAGCATATTGTGATACTTGTCGAGACAACATAATTCACTCTAACCAAATCTGATAGTCATTACTAATACTTCTACTTCTTTGTATTATATTTCTGTTGTAATATATCTTTGTATTCCATACCTGTGTTCGTGTTATTCTTTCATTGGTTCTAACCTTGGACCATCACCGTGGTACAGGGAATTTGGACCATAACCGATAGATAGATAGATAGATAGATAGAACAAGCATAGATAGATATGAAGAACCATATGAAAGAGCCCGCCAGTCATTGATCCGACGGTTGCATGCATGTGTAGAAGCAAGCTGAAAACATTTTAAAAATTTGTTAAAAGTTGATGTGTTGAGGTACAATGGTGGCCTTTGGAATATATGTTTATATGGACATTTGACCTTGTTTTGGTGTCAGGAAACCATGACGAAAGTTGGTAAAAATATTTTGATACACTCTCTCTCTCTCTCTCTCTCTCTCTCTATATATATATATATATATATATATATATATATATATATATATATATACACACTCATGTCTGTCATATCTATGTCTGTATCTATCGATTTGTCATTCTATCTATCTATATATCTGCTCGTACCTATCTATCTATCTATCTATCTATCTATCTATCTATCTATCTGAGTATCTCTCTGTCAAGATAGAAAAGCATAGATAGATATGAACAACTATAGATAGATAGATAGATAAAACAAGCATAGATAGATAGAACAAGCATAGACAGATATGAAGAAGCATATATATATATATATATATATATATATATATATATATAGAGAGAGAGAGAGAGAGAGAGATAGAGATACATAGATAGGTAGATAGAACAAGCATAAATAGATATGAACAACCATAGATAGATAGATATGAACAACCATAGATAGATAGATAGATAGATAGATAGATAGATAGAAGAAGCATAGATAGATATGAACAACCACAGATAGATAGATAGACAGATCGATCGACAGATAGATATAACAAGCATAAATATTAAAAACCATAGAGAGATATATAGATAGATAGAACAAGCATAGATAGTTATGAACAACTATAGATACACAGATGGATCGATAGACAGATAGATAGATAGATAGATAGATAGAATAAGCATAGATAGGTATGAACAAACGGAGTTAGAGAGATAGATTGATACATAGATAGACAGATAGATAGAACAAGCATAGATAGTTAGGAACAACCATAGATTAATAGATAGATATATCGATACATAGATAGATAGATCGATAGATGGATAGAAAAATCATAGATTGATATGAACTACCATAGATAGATAGATAGATAGATAGATAGATAGATAGATAGATAGATAGGAATGGCATAGATAGACATGAACAACCATAGATAGATATATAGAAAGATCAATAGATTGATAGATAGATCGATAGATTGATAGATAGATAGAGCAAGAATAGATAAATATGAACAACTCTCTCTCTCTCTCTCTCTCTCTCTCTCTCTATATATATATATATATATATATATATATATAGATAGATAGATAAATAAATTGCACAAGCATTGGTAGATATGAACAACCATAGACAGATTGATATACATATATATAGATATATAGATAGACAGTTCGATTGAACAAGCATAGATAGATATGAACAACTATAGATATATAGATAGATAGTTAGATTGAACAAGCATAGATAGATATGAACATCATAGATAGATAGATAGATAGATAGATAGATAGAAAAGGCATAGATTGATATGAACAACCATAGATAGATAGATAAAACAAGCGTAGATGAATATGCGCAACCATAGATAGATAGATAGATAGATAGAATAAGCATAGATAGGTATGAACATCGATACATAGATAGAAGGATCGATAGATATATACATAGATACATAGATATATAGAACAAGCATAGATAGATATGATCAACCATAGATAGATAGATAGATATAACAAGCCTACATAGAGATGCGCAACCATAGAGAGATAGATAGATAGACGGATAGAACAAACATAGATAGATATGAACAACCATGAATGAATAGATATATAGATATACATATATATATATATGTATATATATATATATATATATATATATATATATAGATAGATAGATAGATAGATAGATAGATACATAGATAGCACAAGCATTGGTAAATATGAACAACCATAGATTTAGCTATATATATATATATATATATATATATATATATAGAACAAACCGAGAGAGATATGAAGAACCATAGATAGATAGATAGATAGATAGATAGATAGATAGAACTAGCATAGATAGATATGATCAACTATAGATATATAGATAGATAGTTAGATTGAACAAGGATAGATAGATATGAACATCATAGATATATAGATAGATAGATAGAAAAGGCATAGATAGATATGAGCAACTATAGATAGATAGATAGATAGATAGATCATTAGATAGATAGATAGAACAAGCATAGATAGATATGAACAACCATTGATAGTTAGATAGATATAACAAGAGTAGATAGATATGCGCAACCATAGATAGATAGATAGTTAGATAGATAGATAGAATAAGCATAGATAGGTATGAACATCGATACATAGATAGAAGGATCGATAGATATATAGATAGATACATAGATATATAGAACACGCATAGATAGATATGATCAACGATAGATAGATAGATATAACAAGCCTACATAGAGATGTGCAACCATAGATAGATAGATAGAACAAACATAGATAGATATGAACAAACATATATATATATATATATATATATATATATATATATACATATATATTTAGTTCATTCAAAACTAGATAATCCGCATGGGTAGACCCAAGGAGGATGATATCCGGAGAGCTCAATGTAAAATTCAGAGCCGATATATTTGAATAAAAACAGACCACTTTAAGCTTCCATGTAATAAGTTATTTCACCACAATCCCTTTAACAGGGCTCTGGATCATCAGACTTTACTTCCAAAGGTTGAAATGAAAAATGAAAAGAAATTCACACGTTTTTGACGGACCGCATCAAGCATATGTAAAATTAACGAAGTGAGGAAGTGAGGTGGGAGAGAAGATAAGATATGAGTGGGTTAGATGTAGCATTTCATTTCCTTATTCTTAACCCCACTGTGTGTCGGCTAACGCGTATTGTCTCTAGATATAGATGGGTAGGGGTGAGGGAGAAGACCGACATTAAAGAAAGAAGTTACAACAAACCATAATAAATTACATTCCACGAGGGCAGGTTTCATTCAAAATCTTAGACGCTGTTAATTCGCATTTCTTTAAAGGACATATTTGGGAGGTTAAGGTTTGATATAAATCTAAATAATCTATGAAGAATTTAATTTGAAGTTTGTTGGAGTTTTGGGTATTTCCTATGAAACAGTCGATTGGAAAAACTCATAGAGAGTACATTGAAAAAGTAATCCATTTTATATTTAGTAATCTTTTTTATTTTTCTAAACTTGTATCTTATTGATTGTTATGTTGACATATATTCGTTTGATTTTTGTTCATTAATTAAATAAACTCGAGTCGATTATTCAGTTGACATCTATTCGTTTCAGTTTTGTTGATCGATTAAACTCGTGACTTTTTTAATATACCTACATAATTATCAAAGGTTCTTTTAATTTAAATCACTTTATCGTCAATACTAATTGTTAAAAAGGGTAGTATATTTCAATTTAAATTAAATTACCAATTTAAACTTTACCTCCGTGTTATTTAAACTCACTTCCAATTGGAGAATATTAGAGGAGAAGTTTGGATAAAATATTAGTTGGAGAAAATTAAGTCCTTCTTTTACAATCTTTTATATATCCATACTCATATACACTTCTACACATGTCCGAACCCCTATCTATATCCACACACCTATATCTCACTATATACCTATGAGTTCTTATATACACCTGCACACACATCCACACGAAAAACTATATGTATATTCCCATATTTACACATATACACCTGCAGAGAAACACATACCCACATATCTACATACATATCTACATATACACTTATACTTACATATATACATATATACACATAAAATCACCTGCATATCTATATACATATACATCCAAGTACATACGCAGATATACATTTACACACATATATAAGCATATACATATACATATACAAACACACATATGCATACATACACACATACATACACATACACACACATACATGCATATACATACATAATATGCAATATATCCACACACACACACACACATATATATATATATATATATATATATATATATAGATAGATAGATAGCACAAGCATTGGTAGATATGAATAAAACATAGATAGATTGGTATATATATATATATATATATATATATATATATATAGATAGATAGATGAATAGATAAATAGATACATAGAACAATCCTAGATAGATATGAACAACCATATATATATATATATATATATATATATATATATATATATATATATATATAGAGAGAGAGAGAGAGAGAGGTAGAACTAGCATAGGTGAGATGAACAACTATAGATATATCGATGAATGGTTAGATTGAACAAACCTAGATGAATATGAACAACATATATATATATATATATATATATATATATATATATATATATATATATAGATAGATAGATAGATGATAGATAGATAGGGGTAGATAGAAAAGGTATAGATAGATATGAACAACCATAGATAGATTGATAGATAGTTAGATAGAACAAACATACATAGATATGAACAACCACAGATAGATAGATAGATAGATAGATAGATAGATAGATAGATAGAAAGATAGATATTTACATAGAACAAGCATAGATATATATGAATAACCATAGATTGATAGATGGATCGATAGATAGATAGAACAAGTATAGACAGATATGAACAACCATAGATAGATAAATAGATAGATAGGTAGATAAATAGATAGATAGATAGATAGATAGATAGATAGATAGATAGATATGAACAGGCTGAGATTGATAGAGAAAATTAAGATCGACGAGACTGATTTTTTTTTAAATTCTACTTTTCACCCGGCACAACTCGATGCAGTGTGTTTCTGTGTGTTTTTATATCAGCTGAAGAAAATGCAAAAAGTTAAGTTCATGGGGTTATGCTGGAAAGATAGACGCCAAGAAGACAAGATTTTAAGATAGCTTGAAAGAAACATATAACAAACTGACAGACAGAAAGACAGACAGATACTCAAATAGATAGATAGATAGATAGATACGAGCAGATATATAGATAGATAGAATGACAAATCGATAGATACAGACATAGATATGACAGACATGAGTGTATATATATATATATATATATATATATATATATATATATATATATATATATAACTTCCTCGACGTAACTCTAGACTTACCTGGCAACACTTACCAACCTTATAGCAAACCTAATGCTAACCCTTTATATATACACCCGAAGTCAAACCACCCTCCATCCATAATTAAACACATAACCTTATCAATAGAAAATAGAATTAGCATTAACTCCGCTAACAAGGAAATATTCCAACAACACAATGACTTCTATAACACTGCCCTAAAAAATAGTGGTTATAAAAATGCTAACATTAACTATAGAGACAATTGCACTGGCCAAAAGAAAAAAAAAACAGGAAAAGAAAAATCATTTGGTATACCCCTCCGTTCAACCAAAGGGTTAGTATTAAACTAGGACAAAAATTCTTAAACCTAATTGATAAACACTTCCCCACCAATAGTAAGCTTAGTAATATATTCAATAAGAACACCCTAAAACTGAGTTAGAGCTGCTCTGAAAATCTTGAACGTATAATAAAAAAACACAATAATAAGATCTTGAACAAACCCCCATGCCTAAACAGTATTAATAAAAACCCTGCACTTAAATCAGACAATAAAAGGGAAAAATTATGTAACTGTAGAAACCTAGAAGACTGCCAATTAGAAAATAAATACTGCATTAAATCAGTGGTATACCAATGTACTATATCATCCACTGAGAGCCCTAGCACTAATAAGATATACATTGGGTCCACGAAGAATGATTTTAAAGATAGATGGAGGCATGAGTGTTCTTTCAATAATATAAACAAAAGAAATCAGACTTCCCTATCTAAATATATTTGGCATTTGAAGGAAACAACTAGGACACCTAAAGTTAAATGGAAAATTATTAACAAGGCTAGAACATGTAAAACTTGGGATGACCCATGCCCTTTATGCCTCCATGAGAAATTGCACATAATTAAGCTTCTAAATAATAATAATCTATTAAACAATAGACACGAGTTAACGGTTTTTTGTAGGCATCATCAGATTTTTGGTTTGAACTATTAGCTAAAAACTAGCATACAATATAATAACTTGTTTCATCCATAGCCCACTCATCAGATTCATGGTTTGAATAATTAACTAAAAACATGCATACAATATAACACCCTTCATAATCCATAGCCCAAATAAATAGTTTAAATACCTAAAAAAGATAACCATTTATGAAGTCGTCAAAAAAACAAACGTTACGACAGTTTTTTTTTTATGCACAAATCCCTTTCATAAAAAATAAAATAAAAAAATAAATAAATCTCCATAACATGCAAACTAGACGAGGGTTAATACATCTTCCGTTTCAAATTTAGACACCCCCACCTTTCACTGACTTGACATCTACGAAAGTAACTCTATACTGATACTTATTATTAACACCCAACACCCGCCTACCCAACTTAAACAATTCGCCCTAGCTGTTACCATGGAAATTTTGATTTCAATTTTTAAAACACGTAAATTTCAAAACACGTTATTCCAAAAAAAAATTTCGCTTGAAGATGGAACAGAGCTTATTTTAACTCAATTTATTTAAATAATTTAAATAATTTAAATAATTATATTGAAGTTTTCGGCTCTTGTTTTTGAAACATGGGACTTCTTATGTCGCGATTTGGAATCATATTTTAAATAAATATAATATATATATATATATATATATATATATATATATATATATATATATATATATATATATATATATATATATATATATATATATATATATATATATATAGAGAGAGAGAGAGTGTGTATCAAAATATTTTTACCAACTTTCGTCATGGTTTCCTGACACCAAAACAAGGTCAAATGTCCATATAAACATATATCCCAAATGCCACCATTATACCTCAACACATCAACTTTTAACAAATTTTTAAAATGTCTTCAGCTTGCTTCTACACATGCATGCAACCGTTGTATCAATGACTGGCGGGGTCTTTCATATACTCACACACGGTATCGAATAGCTCCCCCTGACATGTTCATGAAACATCTCTGCATTCTTAATGTCTACTGCATAAACCAACTGTTTTGCATGACGTCGAAGGAACGTGCAGGCCGTAGAACCAGTCCTCCCCTACCCAACCCTCTTTCATGGTAGATGTCAACCAGTGCATCGCGAACAGTGTGGCTAAAATGTGCATGAACCACCCGCGTCTTCGTATTAGCAGGGGTATATCCGCTAGCAGTTCTGGGAGTGTGCTCAAAATAAAATCCCTGTATGCAGCTCCTATAAGACATGCTGAGAGAACATGTGGACCTACCAGGCAGTCACCTAAAATTCTAGCCTGCACATTAATCATAAACTGATGCTGCTGTATTGCTCCATAGGGATCCGCCCACAAATATTGGTCGTGTAAATTTGCTATTCCATCTCTATTTCAAATGTTGCCTCATCCGTAAACAAGACTGAAGAGACAAACAATGGATCAGCAGTTTGGGCAATAAACCGTCGTCAAAAATTATCATTTGGTGAGTGATCAGAGGGTGAAAGACCCTGCACATGTTGCAAAAAATACAGACACAAGATCTGCTCTTGAAATAACCTCGATGCAAGGTTGGATGATGCAGCTGCCTTCGGTCTGGAAAAGCAATCTGATACAGTCTCGCGTCCATTAAAATTCGCATGCCCGTTTTAAAAAATCATATATGCATTTTCACGATATGATTATCCTGCTATTATTAAACAGAACACTTCTAAGCTAACTAACGACTACACTCATTAAATACTGACAACAGACTAGCCAAAAAATGTACACGAATAACAAATGTAACGTAGTCTACATAGCAACACAATGGGTAAATTGTCGCCATTTTATATTTTTAATTTCGCGCATGCTTGTTTTTAATTTTGTCAACTGCACCGTATAGTAGGGTCAGTTAGGTTGCGTCTGTGTTTAAAAGAGCACCATAAGGCAAATCAATTTGGAAACAACATGCTGTACCGCTTGTCATTCGCTCCGGAAGCTTCAATACAAAGAGACTGAGAAAAATGCAGAGGATTCAGAAAGAGTTGGATGAGTCCAACTCATTATGAAGGTGTTTGAAGTGATCAATAGTGATGGCTATGTCATGCCTTTTCATCTTCCCATCTCAGACTCAACACGGAGGCCTACATCAAGTGCCTTGCTGAGCTAGTTTTGCCCTGACTCAAGTGGATGGCTGCTAGAAGACCCTTTGTTTGGCAACAGGATTCTGCAACATGCCACACAAGCAGGAGAACCTAGCCATGGCTGTCAAACAATTTCTGCGACCACATCATCCCTTACATCTGGGCATTTAACTCCCCAGACTGTCCCCTCTTAATTAATATGCGTGGGGCGCAGTTGAGCAACAGACCAGTAAAATTCCTTGCAACACCAAAAATGAACTGAGGGTAAGGTATATGGCCGCACTCACCAATTTAAATAAGGAGATTCCGAAGTCGCCCGGATGTCGTGTTTGAATCCAATGGCGATTTTATTGAATAAATTTACTCTTTCATATTTCAAGATATATTTGTTTAATTTTAGTAAATCTATCTTAAATATATGCTAAAATGAGATGTCAGTATTATTTTCATTTTTTCGTAATTTAGACGACAATTTATCCATCGCAGCCTGTATACACACACACACACATAGATATAGATAGATATAGATAAATAGGTAGATGGATATGAACAGTGATAGATATCAACAGGCTGATAGATATCAACAGGCTGAAATAGATAGATAGACAGACAGACAGACAGCCAGACAAACAGACAGAAAGATAGATTGCGTGAACATCTGATATGTTTCCCTATATTTCTGAGATGAGGTATTATGTACAGTATTTACATTAGTCGGACTATTGTCCTCATCTTTGTCGCCATATTTGTCACAACGTTTCGGCCGTTGTACGCTCCAGCCTTCTTCAGGTGGTTGGAATTTCGAACTGAACACTTTATTTCGCTCACTGGGGTAGACTGTTCTAGTTCCACGTGCCATGTTTGATGGATGTCAGTTATCAGTTATCTCCTGCTAATTTCCCTCTGAAAGTTCTCCACTGCCTTAACCAGGAATTGAACTCACCTTCTTTGGGTCTGTCACTGGATCTAACCAACGCCTTTATCCACTGTGCCATGTCTTTGGGTCTGTCACTGGAATAACAACATCCATCAAATTCGGCCTTTCCACTGTGGATTGTGTCCGGGTTCATCCAAAAAAACTGAAAAAAGTTCTTTTCTTACAATTTTGCCAAACACCTGAAAAATAGGTTAAAGACAATATCCGACTAATTTTCCGACTATGTTGTATGATAATTTTTTTAGTTAAGCGTTTATTTTTTGTCAAAAAAGAAAATACACCGTAATTATTTAAATTTTATTTTTTACTTTAAAAAAAAACAAAAATATATAATTTTAAGGTGGTTTTTTAAAGAAATGCGGAGTGACCTCTAAATTTTTATCTTTAATGTATAGCACAAAAGTTTGGGATTAAACCTGTTAATTCTACTTTTAAATCTCTCTATATAAAAGGCAGGATGTGTGTGTGTGTGTGTGTGTGTGTGTGTGTGTGTGTGTGTGTGTGTGTGTGTGCGTGTGTGTGTGTAACAAATGCACGGCTGTAATTTTCGACGGATTTGCACCAAAATTTACATGCACATGCTCCAAGTTAGCAGGAAGGCCAAGACCGACTTTGCATTTCGATAGTGGAAATAATCGATTTTTTCATGCTTCTACGGCAGTTTTCATGTAGTTTGCGGCCATTTTCTCCTGGCCAGAATGAGAGCCTATAGCTGGCTGCCACAAATAGGCAGGAAGATTCTATTGGCAAGCGTGAGAGCCAACATCTGACTGACACGAATGTTAACTAGCATGCCTAGCATGCAAAAAAATCGATAGCTGCATTCGTCACAAGTGGGAAAAATTTAAATCTGCATGGCACTTTATTCCAATTGGCTCATTCGCTTGCTTAAACTCAAC